CTCAAACTATTTTCATTCAACATAAAAATATCCATTCAACTTTTGTATTTAAAGTTCCCGGACATTCCTAATGTCTATTCATTTGAACGTTCGGCACACCGACCAGGTCTCTTGGGGTGCGTAGTCAAAATGGCGTCGGATGAAGACAGGCTGACTCAAATAGTACGTGAATGGGTACGGAATGAACTGGCGCTATAACGATCGAGATCAGCAAGTAATGCTTCCCTTTTGTCTAGAATACGAAATCTTATTTCAAATGCGACCAGATCGGCGAGCAGGGAAGCGGCAGGTGCTGCCCTTTCGGCAGTGGAAGCTTCGTTCGAAGCCGAACTTCCAACTCAGCATTCTGGTGTGTTTCAGACTACGAGAAAGAGGTCGGCAAGTACATGGAATCACCCATGGCCCTTTAAGAAAGACAAAAGCAAGAACGTGAAGCCAGAATTTCATCCAATGCACCCTGGAATCATTTGCCATCGCTGCTATTTTGTTGTCTCTTTGAATAGAACGCTGTTTGAAATGTTTTAGGTAGCTTTTGCCCAAATCTAGGCCCGGAAATGCTGAGATTTACCTCGAGTAATCGGAATTGAAAGATGACAGCATAAACAATGATGTCATTCATAGCCATGAGATGAATTTGAAACCTTAGTATCTATAAACAAAGGATAACCTGCACAGTCTGTTACTGCGCAGAGGGAGCTAATCGCTGGAGGCCAACTGCACCTGCGTTAATTTTAGGAATCCAAAATGGTGTCTCCAGATGGCGGCCATAGCAACCTTTAACCTTTATTCAAACTTTGTTGTCTTTTTACTCAGCTCATAGTGGCTGTGGGGTTCTCATATTTTGCGGACATTAAAGACTCTTCACAATTTTTTAACTGGTCATATCTTTTCGTATGTTTATTTTTTTTTACATTCAGGAATTTCAACCACCTTAAATCAAATAAGACAACTAGAGCGGTTGGCCACTATGGGTAGCTGTCAAAGATACAGCATTGTTATAGTTTATATTTCATATAAGGGAAGGTATATTATTTTTAATTTGAATAGCATTTGAAAAATTCATGAACCTTTTTCACATCTTTTGTTATTGTTAACAGTCGCAGTTTAAACTTCATTTCCGGTGTGTTTGATAATGCATATGGCCTAACGACCAGTAGAGGATTCACTTCACGATGTTAACAATATTCACCACTACCCAGTGTGAATTGAAGAAAAAATAAATGCTCTGGTTTATTCGCTGTGTCTATCATTTCCTCTTTTTCTTTTACAACAAATTGGTTAAATGTGTTATCTTTAGGTAGTTGTAGTAAACATGAAATGTTTAGGAACATGAAGAATGTGCATAGAAGCTGAATTACCTTACATGGCATGCTTGAGGATCGTTCTATCTTATTCATGATTTGTACTCAATCGATGGTGTTACTGACACATACAGAGAACACAGACATATTTACGATAGTTTTTCTCAAACCCTCAAGGACGGGGAAAATGGGAGATCATCTGGCAAATATAAGTATGGTGGCGGAGAACTGCCAATCGAAAAATCCGCATTTTGAAGGAATTATTTATTATTATTTTTTATTTTTATCTGTAATTACTTTCCACTTTCTTTTTAATTTTATTTTAATTTAAAAGAAAAGTGAAAGTAAAATCAAGTGAAATCAAAATAAAACCAAATGAAACCAAAGTAAAATGAAATGAAGTCAAAATTAAAATCAAACAAGACGCTGTGGGAGCGTACATTTGGGCGTCGATATACTAGGCGTGTGTGAAGTTTTTATGTGTATTAGGGTCGCAGTAGCGTTGTATATTTTAGGGGTTGCTTGAGATGCGTGAAGTGGAAGGCGTTGAGTTATATTTTACGTGAATTGGTAGGATAATGGCTGTAGTTTGTTAATCAGTGAAACTCGTTTCTCGTAGAATTAAAATATGAAGTAACAAAAAAATATATAGATTAGCCGGGGCTAAAAGTGAAGCCTCCGTTCCTATACTTATGATAAAAGCAATCAAATTAAAGTAATAACATGAACTCTAAGCCAAGAAAAAAAGAATCTTCACATCCCTAAGAGCCTTCGGCATCAGACACCTTTAGAAGGAGGGGCTAAATGATTAAGGAAAAATATCCCGCAAACAAACCTGAATTGAAAAAATTGTTAAATTGTAGGTCTGTTAAGTAGCAGCAATTTACTGGTTACGATTTCTAACTGAGGATCGTAATGAAATTAAAGCTTTAGCTTCAAAACTAAAAGAACCAGTACGATTACCTTATGTCAAAACTTGATAGCGACACAGAGAATAAAAATTGTGAAAATTACTCACTAGTGTCTGTTAAATGTGTGAACAACGCTGTGGGTGGGTCAAACATAATTAAAGGGAAATCATTCTCTTCGAAAATAAAAAGGAAGACTGCTACACGCAAAAAAAGGAGAAAAAAGTTATCCAAGAAAAAAGTCAGTTTTCAAAACACTAAAGGAGAAAAATATATTAAGAACCTCTCAAACAGAAGTTTAACTGACACACAAATTAGTTTAATCTGTCGAGGTCTCAAATTTATACTGGTTAACAAATCAATAAACAGAAACAAAATACGACAACAGTTGCTACGAGATTTCGAAAATCGCCCTAAATATATGTTCCACGGAAAAAAAAGGGACGTTCACCCTTCCTATGTAAAATCTGACTGGAACCCACCGGTTCAACCATCAGTAGCCCTCGAGAGCTATCTGGAAGAAGTTAAATCACAACTCGCAGAGATAAAAATAACAAACCTAAAAAATAACTTGTCACGAAAGGAACAAGAAGCATTAACAGAATTAAAGTAAAACACAGACATCAACCTTAAAAAAGGGGGCAGGGGAAGCACTATAGTAGTCATGAACAAAACTGACAAAATAAGAGAGGGTCAAATACAAATCGACGACAAACATAACTACAGACCTCTCTCTGAAACCGTGGTGAAAGAAACGCACAGCAAGCTCTTGCGCCTAATTACGGATCTTCACCGTGAAAAATATATTGATGACATGACAAGAAAATGGCTCACCTAATCCACCTAGAATAAAAGCGTTCTACACTCCAACCATTACAGGGAGACCAATTATCTCCGGCTGCGATGGTCCAACAGAAAGAATTTCCTCTTTTGTTGATACATTACTGCAACCAATTATACGTCATGAGCGATACTTTTTTCAGTGCAGGATATTTTTCTCCCAGGAATTTATTTGCATGCTTTTTTCCTCTCGAAATCAGTCTGCAGGACATTTTTTTGAAATCATCCATAACCCCCTCAAAAGTCAAATGGTCGGCCCCTAAAATCCAGGAAACATTTGGTCAGTTGACAGACTCTGATTTGTCAATCAATTTGTCAATCATTTCTAAAGGCTTTTGAAACAATAGGGGACAAAACTCTCTAGGAGAGAGGGGAGGAACTCGTTTCTACTTACCTCTACCCGGCAAGTCCGTACGGACGTACGGTGACGTCATAACCAAATTTTCTCGGATGGATTTTATTACCCATGGTGCTCCGCTATAATTATTTTGGGAGGTAAAAGTGATTTTAGGTGTTGCAGTGAGGTAGTTGTGGAAGTGCTAATTTAGTTATGAAGGGATACTTACAGTGAATACTTACTGAGTACTTACAGTGTGTTGAAATGAAGTGGTGCCTGTGTAAAAAATTTTTATCAATAGTCGAAAACATACTTGTACTTATTTTAAACGTTGTTTCTGTGGGAAAAACGTTCATTTAATATAGAGAAGGGAGTATGAAGATGTTGAGAGGGGGAGGGGGGGCTGAAATTTCGGAGGCTTTGAAAAATCGGTGATGTCAAGGGAGAGGGCGAAAAATCTGGCCATAGAACTAAGGGCCTGATTAAATGAGCCGTGCTGGTTCGCTTTTCAGAAAACCCGGCACCTTAGTTAACCGCAAAAATCAGCTTTGCGATAATCTAACAACAACGCTAGCCAGATCAGCTGGGATCCCAGTATTGTGATGCCGAGATCCCGGGTGGAAATTTTCCAAGTAATCACGCTTGCCGGACGGCACGGCGAATGATCCGAGAAACAGGACAGCGAGTAATTCATTGTTCATGCGCATCCGCTGCTCAGGTGATCAGGCCCTTAGTGTAAGTTGTATTGTCACGCAGTTTGCACGTTAAAGCTTTGGAATTTGCCGCTTTCGTGGTTCGTGTATGACAGAATACGACTTAATCTAGTTAACCCAAAGGTTTTAAAAATAGAACGCGGTTTGCACGTGAAGATGTTGGAATCTGCCCCTTTTACGAGGGTCTCAATGGGGTGGTGGCTTTTACGGTTATCGGCTAAAATTTTGGCTCTTTTACGGCTATCGGTTAATTTTTTACAGTAACGGTTAACGAAAAAGTTAAAAATTAACGTCTTTTGTTTCAAAAAGTTAAACACTAATTAACCTGTATTTTTTTTATCTTTAAATCAAAATAAAGGTCTTCGGATCATCTCGGGATGAAATAAGCTATTCTGCACTAACCTATATAAATATAAACACAAATGCAGCAAATCACTGAGAATATTGGATTATGGCCTGTGCGGTAACGCCATAATCGACGGAGAAAGAAACAAAGATAGTAAAGCGAAAAAGTGCTGGGTACTTATCTTAAAACAGGGGCACAAACGACGAGCTGGTCTAGCCTCCGGGCGTGAAACCAAATCGCTGGATGCGTATCTTGACGAAGTCGCCCGAGATGTAGAGGCGGAGCCACTGCCTTTGTCGCCAGAACGGGCACGACGACGTTTTTCCTTAGTGACCTTTCTCTCAGCTCTCCTCTCGGCCCGGTAAATTCTCTTCTCATCATCTGAGTCAGAGGCGAGTTCGTCGGATAGATATTCATTGACCGTCGCCCATCCAAACTCGCTCTTGTCGGCTAGCTTTATTGCTTTAACACGCTTGGACACTAATTCCGTACCTGACTCCAAAGTAGCCTTAGCTTTTTCATAAGATTTGTGCTTCAGTGCGTCGGAAGCTTCGTCTAGCTTGTCCAGCACCGGAGGGAATGGTCTAACTGCTGCTGGTTACCCTTTCTCTTGCACGTGTATTGCTCGCGACGCGCCTTCTTAACAGCTTGCTCAACGGACGAACTGTTTTCCTCTGAAAAACGCTTGGCAAAATCAGTAAGCCGAGATTCAATGACCTGTGTAAGGTTGTCGGTTAAAGAACCTATAGAACGAGTAACGGCAGCCTGTATAGCAGCGCCAATAGAAGGATCTACGACTTCAGGGTTCGGACGAGAACGAACATTGCTGTCCTCCGCGTCACTCATGTTAAACAGAACAGTGTTGTAGCGTGTGGCGTTGCAGACCCGAAGGAAGAACATACTGACTGACAACAACTATATATGAAACGCAAATTTACACGTATTACGTAACTACTGAACACATCATCGAAAAACACAATGAAAATACCAAATTCAGAACGTGCAGAAAACAAATATCTGCTAAACTTCGTACCGCAGATATTTTGATATTCTGTTGAACAATTTTAACATTTGATAGATCATACTTTTTATAAAGTATTCCACTTCTAATATTATTTTACACATAGAAATGTCAATAGTCAATTTAAAAATAATCTTCAGTTTGTGAAAAAGCAAAAGCAGACACGCGAATGACTCAAGGCCGGGGCGCGACATTCATTATAACAGACATGGCCGTTTTCACACTAGAGAAGGATTATTCGTGTGAGACGGGTTATCCGTTTGATGATTCGCGTCAGATAGGTAATACGTCTTAATTTGAAAATGGAATAGTTTTAATTTTTAATGAACATATCCGCCTGACTTTTGAAGACGGGATTATCCGTTCCATATAGCCTGTGTACAGCCACCCCCTCCCCCTAGAAAAGATCGGAGAAGGGGTGTCTGTGGGGAGGGTGCGACTATACACAGGCTAGTCTCAGACGGATGATCCATTTCTAGCTCTAGTGTGAAAACGGCCAAACACAAAATTCCCGTGTCCAGTGTTTTTAATGATAGCGAGGGACTGTACTGAACGACTGTCTACCGTTGCCTTGTCCGTAGGCCGCATTATTCCGCGCGGCTAATGCCTTTCGGATCACGTGGTCCGAGCGAGTTCGCTACCGAAATGGCTTGACCGAGATTGCGTGGGAAGACGCCGTACAGGGACTAGGCATGGCAATGTCTACCATAGCGTCAGAGAAAAACAGGGAAATGTTGTTTATCGGCAACGTGTTTTACAAACAGTGACATCTCTGCGTGTTGTTTCACTAGTTTTTCGAGGGTACGACCTCCTGAAAATTGCAAATATTCATCCCCAGCAAGAAGTCACACTTTCGCTATGGAAAAAATTAGTCCCTCAAGAG